AAAATTTCGACTTCGTATTAGGAGAATATAATTGGACAGGAGGTGGCACGTGAAATTTTTCTAAAAATGTCAAATCTAAAAATTTTTGCCGAAATTTCGACTTTGTATTAGGAGAATATAATCCTGAAAGAAGTGGCACATGAAATTTTATATACTTACCTGGATACTTACCTGTATACTTACCTGTATACTTACCTATATACTGTTACAGCTGCTATTTTTTTTCATTTTTTAAACAGTTTACTTAATTCTAAGAATACTTACCTTTTGTGATAAAAATTCAATTTTATATCTGGAATATTTCGCTTATTTTTTATGATATTAAAAAATATTTTAGATAAAAATTGTATAGTTTCTAAACTATATTTTGGTAGTAATAAGTTTTTCATAGGTATTCGTATAAAGAATATGTGAAGATTATCTTTGTTTTTTTAAATGGAATCATATTTTTTAATTCATGAGGTGAATTTTGACATTTTTTATAAAAAAATACTGGCCATGTATGTTGAGAAATAATTAGTTTACGAAATATTTAATAATAATTAAATATTTACGAAACTAATCACTCTTTATTATAAATGGTTAAATATTTTTTTATAAAAAATAATGTATTGCTTATGCAATAAAAAACAGTTCTATTTAAAAAAACAAAATTAATCTTCATACAATCTTTATATATTCGCCTATGAAATTAATCTTATACACCATTCGAAACCATCCAATTCTTATCTGAAAAATTTGTTAATATTTCCAAAAATAAGCGAGACATTCGAGATGATAAAATTACGTGGAACACCCAGTATATAATACAGTTTAATATTTCCAATCCAAAAGCCAAACCCAATCCAAACCGAAACCCAATTTCGTGAGTGTCAATCAAACTTCGATACTTCTGCAACACAAAATGGAGAACGATCAATCTAACTCGATTCGTAACGAAAAAAAAACAAAAAAAAAAAAGAGGAAAAAAAAAGAAAAAAAAAGAAAAAAAAAGGAAAGATTGCGAGCAAAAGATGGCGAATAAAAGACAAAGAAATCCGCGTGGAGAGACGATCGTGGCGCGAGGTCGTGGCACACGCTCGAGGGATATGAACGAGCGAATAGGTTGAGGGTCGTGAGTGGCCGTTGACCCTGCGTGTGTACCTGCGCGAAGCGGAGTGGCGAGTGTTCGTACCGACCACCTAGACAGGCTAGAGTCCACATTGGTAATAGCTTCTCTAGACTACCGACCTTCCACTCGTAAAAACAAATATTTATGGACACCGCACCGGCCGGTGAAGAACGTCGCCCGAGCCCTTGAGCGCTCGAACGTTTCATGCGGTTGGGACAGGTGTGGATTGTTAATTGGTCGCTGAACCAAAGTTTATTTTGGGACATTGCCAAACTGTGGTTAGTGGAGAAAAATAATATTTAAGAAGAAACATAGTGGATTAGAGAAGCTAATTGGAGATTAGTAGTTCTAAAAGAAGATTTGACATTTGTAGGTTATGTCTTGGAATAAATCTTTTATTTCTAATATTATTCTTCGATATTTCAACATAAGAGATTATATCATAAATTATAATTTCGATAAAGAGATTATATCAAAATGTAAATCAAAATGTACATCAAATTGATGATCAATCTGTAATCACAAATTTCCTAGAACGTGTAATTCAATCAAACGATCAATGTTTAATCATAATCAATCTCTATGTACCGATCAAGACAAACTTAATCGCATGTTTATCATCTCGATTTTTGAAGCCTTGAATTAATCCTTGACGTTATTATCTATGATATATACGATTGCTTATATGATTGCTTCTTTTTGATCGATCATCGATACGCTTTTACATGGATCTCTAGCGTCTACGATCTATTGTTGCATCTCGAAGATCTTACGCTAATTATATCACTTGTCCGTACTTTTTTGTTGCAGTATCCGGCCAGTGCATCCAGTGAACTTTTGCCAGAGAACAGATCTAATACTAGTTCCTTACCACCTGGTACTCTACCATCGAGCGCGGAAAATATTTCATCAGCTGCGAAGGATCTGTTGAAACGACTGCTACAACCGGATCCTTGCTTGAGGTTGAGGTCTCTGTTAAGTCTACAGAGGATTGCTTTCTACATGGGTTACGATTTGCACAGTTATATGCAAAAGAAGGTATGAAAATTTTATTGAATTTTGTGTAATTTAATAAATTTTTTGAGTCCATGTTTTCTTAATTCTCAAAAGCTTTTCAAATTTTTGATTAACGTGACGTACTGTAATAAACAATGATTTTGTTTTATGTTTTAAGAAATTAATTTGTATGATTTTTGACGCAAAATGAAAAAGGTTAAAGAATTTTTCGAATAATTTATTTTTCATATTTTTATACAGGAATCTCCGTTCCGTCTGCTAGGACGAAAAGTCGAAATTGAGCAGGAGAGAAGGATCAAAGAATTCTCCACGTTCAATTCCTCTTTGGCAGACAGTATATCTCGCGGCGAAGATCGATGATCTGATCAATGTGATTGTTATTAGCAACATTGTCTTTAGTCACTTCAGCTAATGCCATATTGATTTTGGCCAAAAAAATGTTCCCTAGTTATTTTTTTATTTTATTGTACGTTAGCTTGTTGCTCATCGTAGATTTATCTCGAGCAACGTCGTCGATGCCATCCATTACTTTTTAAGCGAATCAACTTAACATGGATTTCTAAACTCTCTATAGATTACGTTATAATTCGAAGATATATTTTTTAATATAACTTGTTGTATAAAATACGAATCTCTTTATCCTCTGGTGCTATTTTTTGAAGAAAATTGTTGCGAAGAAGAATTCAGAGGTTTTTTTATCGTATATTTTTTAAGAATAAATTGCGAAGCTTTTGTACCGTGAAAGAAAAATGTTTAATGCGTCAATGTGCGATTGTAGCTTCTGTGTGCAGTGTTGTACTGCTTGATACCCCATCGTGGTGATAATTGCATCGTGTGAAAATAAAAATAAACACATGAAAGTAAAATGTATCCAATTATAATATAAAAATAAAAATATCTTTATGAATGTGCAATTTCTCGAGTTTTTATCTTTTATCCCTACCTTTTACACCAGAAAGTTGCTCGACAACTTAATGAATCCTATTGGAATTATGTTTCAGGAATATATCGTGAGAAATTCGCGGTTGGTCTCAGTTTACAAAAGTTTTAATTTTTTTAAGAATAGTTAACAGTATTTTTGTTACAGTATTTCATCGATAATACAATAAATTGCGATAAATCGTAGTGCGTACAAACTAACAACAAAAAACAAAACGAATCTGGATCGAAAAACGCAGCGTCTTTTTTTTTTTTCTCATCTTCTTCATCTTATTCGTTTCTTCATTTTGAAATCAATCGTGAGAGTAGTTTCTTTTTCTTTTTTTTATCGTTTCATTTTTCTTCCCCATTGTATCTATGAATGTACGTTTTATCTTTTTTTTTTTTTTTAAATCTTTCTTTTTTTGAAGATTTGTTGCTTCGTCTTCGTTCATTTTCGTGCGTTTCAATTTTTCAATTTTTTCGCTTTTTGTTCCTTCTTCATAGACGTTGGGAGCGGGAGACAGTTCCTTTTCCCCGGAGTGCAATCAATCGAAGTTTTTATGGTATAATAATAATTATATATACATTATTATTCTTACACTTAGAGGGTTTCTCGATATATAATACAACGCATTCCTTCATATTACGTCCCGAATGACGCGTCAGCAAGCGATCACTGGTCGAATGTTTCTTTCTTACGCTTGAATAAAACACAAATATATGTATATAAAAAAAAAAAAAAAGGAGAAAGGTACAATATTATTAAAAAAAAAAAAACAATAAATCTTCGACAAAAACATCCCTCAAAAATAATACAATTCATTGTAATTCGAAGGATCATAACAAATCTCTGTTCAAACAACATTTTTAAAAGAAACAATTTAAAAAAAAAAATAAAACTCGTCTCTCAAAATATAAAATTTAAAAATTTAAAGAAAATGTATCGCGTTTTATCATTCATCCGATTCACGCGACGAATTTGTTTTAAACAATAATAAATATAGGTATACAATAATTTTATCAACAACCAATACACGTATATAAATACATAGACAAGTCGATTAAAAAAACTCAATGTTCGATTAAAAGGAAATAAAATATATAATTAAAATGTTTCATGCTTAAAATCAATGAGATCGTTACAATTTTCGACGTGCCAGAGATCGTTCGCGGGACGCGTCCGCGTTTTACAAAATTTTCGCCACCCGCGAAAAGCCGACGAAAATACACATTGTCGCCATATTATTTTCCTCGACATAAAACCGAGTCCTTCGAGGAGGCACGGTTGATCGCCGGCTGGACTTCGCGCACTCGACTTCGTTTACAAAATCGAAACGAAATTCAATAATTACGTCTATTTTTTTTTCCTTTTTTTTTTTATATAACTGCTTCCACTCCGCGAATCGCGGAGTCGTTTTGGTAAAAATCCTTTGGGCTAGCCGCAGACACTGGTCTCGCGCCATTTTGTTCTCTTTTGTTTCGTCTCTTCGTCTATATATTTCTTCTCCTCTAACTCTATTTTCCACCACAGAAGAGGGAAGAGACCATTTCAGGTTCTTCTCGTTTTTTGCTACTTTTTTTTTTTTTTTTTTTTTTTTTTTTAAATTGTTCGAAAATCCGTCCGGTGAATAAATTGTTTCGTTGGAGAGATCAAGGTTGAGCAGAAGTAAGAAGGAAAATCGCGAGACCAGCGACTGAAAGCCGTGAAAAGCCCGTTCGTAGCTACGAGGGTGCTTCTCTTAGCGATCACAATCGATCACTAAATCGGTTTGCTCGTCGCACGTGATTAATCGGCATACATACGCTCGCATTCTCTCGCTCTTTCATTCCATTTCACGCTCCCTTAAATTACGAGTTATCTTATTGTTGTTACTGTTTTCTTCGTTATTGTTTAATTATAGCGCATTATCGTAAGAGATTATGATACAAGTAGAATCGGCCGTGTTTGCCACGGCCACCGCGACAATTTCTTTTTACAGCCTCACTTCATTTCCCCCTCTTTTAGTTCCTCGCTTTGTAGATGGCGCCCTCGAGTTAACACGCTCCGCGCAGATTCTCTCAAGTTTGAATTCATTTGGCAAACGACGCCAAATTTGAATAGTTGTCGATTTAATTAATATTCAACTTAGATACTTTTTTTTTTTATTCCTTTTCAATCGAGATATGGTTGTCAGACGAGAAATTTAAAGCGATTAAGGATTTTATCTTTAGAATTCTTTGAAAAAATTGACAAATAATTTATAAATTTATAAATTTATAAATTTTAAAATAGCCAATATCAATTATAATTCTTCCTTTTTTCCAAATATTTTTTATATCTTTTCATACAAATACTTTCACTAACAAATCGATGGCAAAGCTTTAAACGGCAAAGCTTTTCGAAACGTCAATTGCCAATTACTTAATTTACACACACGCACACACGTTGTTACACGTTGTATTGTTATTAGAATAGATTATCGCAAATATTAGCGGAGCGTGAAGAAATCGAGGATACCTGTAAAAGAGCAAATCGAAATTGCACAAATGGCAAAGATGGCGGAAAGCAAAAAAGTCAATGGCGAATTTCGATGGATCGATCGATCGATCGTGGCAGAGACATTCGTTAATATGAGAGGAGGATAATATTCGTTGCGAGTAGGGAATAATCTGCATTTTCGGTTTGCTCTGGGAAAACGTGGGAACATCCTCGTTCGATCATCGCGAACGATCGACACGAAAAGTGACGCTTGTCAGCGCTGACAAATTATCTTTTCATCGCGCCTCTCCTACGCAAATCATGCTAGATAATAATAATATTAATAATAATAGAATAATAATTAGAGAATCATAATAATTCGAATATAATAATAATATAATAATAAAAATAATAATAATCACGCAGACTGGACAGGGCGCGGCGAAAATATCCAACAATTGTTCATCCGGTTCGCTTTTACGCAAAAAATTTTTTTTTCCCTTCTTCTTATTTCTTTCTTATTTTTTCTTTTTTTTTTTGTACACAAAATACCAACTATCTGTGCTGGAAAACGCACATACTGCTTGTACGCCTCGATATAATAATATATATATATATATCTATGTATATATGTATAATATTTATATATGTATATGGTGTGTATCGCTCGCGTTTAGGGCGTCATTTTTCTTCATCATTTTTTTTTTTTATTCTCGTTTATCTAATATCAAATATTTATAAGTATATTCACTCGTTCTGCCATGCGTAATATCGTTTAGCGTGTAGCGTGGTTCACTACTGCGATGTGTTTTACAATGCGCTCTCTTTTTTATCTTTGAATCTTTTTTTCCTTTTTTTTTTTTTTTTTTTTTTTTA